AACTTGTATCTGACCATTGTGTCTTAACCTTTATCTGATCATTGTGTCCTAACTTGTATCTGACCATTGTGTCTTAACCTTTATCTGATCATTGTGTCCTAACTTGTATCTGACCATTGTGTCTTAACCTTTATCTGATCATTGTGTCCTAACTTGTATCTGATCATTGTGTCTTAGCTTTTATCTTAATATTGTGTCTTAGTGTTTATCTTAAAATTGTGTCTTAGCTTTTACATTTTGTGTGTGATTTTTTTCATGTTAGTTCTTATGTATTAATTTTTTTATAGTAGTTTCGACATGTCTGATATGTGATTCAGTCTCTGAACTACTGTATTCTGTCTCCACTTGTATATGTTCACAGAAATATTGTTCAGTTTTGACAATTTTGAACGATCCTTAAGCTTCTTGAATGTATATTATTAATGAAATTATAGTTTCTGGCAGCCATTTTATGAAAATTTAGATTACAGTTTCTGGCCGTGATTTTATGAAATTGTACATTGGTGTTTGTCAGCTATTTTCTGAAATCATAGATTAGTTTCTGGCAGACATTATGTGATTTTATAGATTACAGATTCTGGCAGCCATTATGTCACATTATAGATTACAGATTCTGACAGCCATTATGTCACTTTATAGATTACAGATTCTGGCAGCCATTATGTGACGTTATAGATTACAGTTTCTGGCAGCCATTATGTGACGTTATAGATTACAGATTCTGTCAGCCATTATGTGACGTTATAGATTACAGTTTCTGGCAGCTATTATGTCACATTATAGATTACAGATTCTGGCAGCCATTATGTGATGTTATAGATTACATTTTCTTGCAGCTGTTATCTCACATTATAGATTACAGTTTCTGGCAGCCATTATGTAACATTACAGTTTCTAGCAGCCATTATATCACATTATAGATTACAGTTTATGGCAGTCATTTGGTAAGACTGAGCTTGTGATTATGGAGTGAATCCATGAATAAGTCAGTAGGTGAATGAGTGAGAATCAGTGGGTGAATGAGTGAGAGTTAGTCATTGAAAGAATATCACAGATATCCCAACACTGCTATCCATGTTCATCTGTTCCTGTGATAACTACGCAAGACATATGTACAGTGTTGTTTTGATGGACATAATAATGGCACTTACTCTTAGACATCTCACCATTCTCTTCTGATGGTTGATCACATGAGCAGTGTGCCTCACAGGCAGTGATTGGCTTTCATTATGACAACAGACATAATAACTAATTCTATTTTCAAAAGGGTCACAAATTGGGCGTGAGGAAGAAGAGGTTACATTAGATAACCGAAACACCCAAAGTCACTACTTGTCAAGCATCTTCTTAGTTCTTCTTCATCAAACTGTTATCCCCCAGTATGTCCTTTGGTCTCTATGAATGTCTGTGGAACTGGTGGAACTCTTGTTAGGTGATCAACATAACCCTTTCAAGGTAGCTGACCAGCTCTGGGCTAGGTCTGCCACCCATCTGTCTCCTGTGGCTGTCAGCATGCCACAACGCCCCCTTCCTTTGAGAAATAGCTTTGACGAGCTGGCTAAACCAGCAGAGGCTAGCTAACCTTGTGGCTACCAATCAGTTGGTGGGGGCCATGCCATCCACAACATGTAGAACACTGGATTTAGTGGATGAATTCTCTTATGGTTTATGGGATTAAAATAGCTCTTCTAACATGCTTTGTGGATTGTTGAGAAGGCACCCAGCCCCCTTTCTAGACATCTGCTGGGCTTGGATTCAGGACAGAGAGGCAAGTAGACAGACAGACAGACTGCAAGACTCTTCCTCATTAAAACCCAGTTCCTGGCCCTAGCCATACTGTTGTGGCCATCTGTACACCCCTCGGCCCTTTACCACCAGCAGATGACAGGTCTAATCATTTTCTGAGGCGGACAAACAACAAACATGAATGTCTGCCAGTCGTTTTCTCACGTTATACTGGTGGCCTCAGGGGCTTTCCCAGTGATTATTGTCAGCTCTGATTTTGTATATAACTAGAAATACATTTGTGCATTTCTCTGTCTTTTTTCATGGCTTTGTGTTTGACATATCACATAATAGAATCAACCAATCGTATCTTGTCTTTCAGTGTTGGTTATGTACTGGACCCAGCATTGTGGTCCCTTGTGTTTGTTATTTGACTTATGATTGGCTAATATGTATTTATGAAACTTGTGCTATTTCATTGGCTAGATATGAACTCTGTGGGTACTCCATAGTTGTGGGTTCACACTGATGATAGACCTGGCCAATGATAACACTTGTTTGTGGGTGGTATTGTAGCTAGATAAGAGATGTGAGGACTTGTAGACAGACAGAAAGGAGACATGATGTAGACACACAGGAGGGAGATATGATGCCTTGTAGACACACAAAAGGGAGATATGATGTAGACAGACAGAAGCGAGATATGATGTAGACAGACAGAAGGGAGATATGATGCCTTGTAGACACACAGAAGGGAGATATGATGCCTTGTAGACACACAGGAGGGAGATATGATGCCTTGTAGACACACACAAGGGAGATATGATGTAGACAGACAGAAGGGAGATATGATGTCTTATAGACAGACAGAAGGGAGATATGATGTCTTGTAGACAGACAGAAGGGAGCATGATGTTTTGTAGTCAGGTAGGAGATGCGAGGTCTTGTAGAGATGCTTTAGACAGCAATCTTTTATAAAAATAACTCTCCAACCATCACACTGAGGTAGACTTCTGCTAAGTTATAGCTCTTGTTTGTTTATTAATGAATGAATTCAGCCTTACACCATCATGGAAATAATACTGGCTGTTTGGTTTTGTGTGTGAGAAACATGCCCGACAGTGTGATGACCAAGTCGGTTTGCTCAGAGAGTTTGTCATTTTTGTAGCAAACCACACTTATTCAAGTTTGTCTGAACAGGTTTATAACCACATTAGTTTGCTAAAATAGTGCTAGTTCACCATGCTTACATTTTGGACCACTGTCGGCAAATGCTAACCCATATTTTGTATTCATGAAATGCACATTTTATTTCACACATAAGCTGTTTCATTTATCAAGTATGTAACATTGCCGGCTGTTATAAATAACCTGAAGTTGTATCCATTTTTTTTTTAAATGGTGATGATCAGTTGTGATCGAGGAACATTAGAAACACAAAGTCCCGATTAGATAGTTGTGTTTGTGGCTGTATGCTCTTATTTGTGTGGTTCACCACCCAATATGTGGGCATGAATCATTTCCTTGCTGCATATTTCTGCAAGATGCTTCAACATTATCAAATTGATGCTTTCATGATTTTGATCATTGTGTCGAGTTGTTCAGTTTTTGAGTCAAGATATTCAGTTGTGTGGATGTGTTCAGTAACTGTTTCGAGATGTTCAGTTTTTGACACAAGATGTTGTTCAGTTCTTGTATATGTTCAGATATTGGGTTGAGATGTACAGTTGTGTCGATGTGTTTAGTTATTTTGTCTGTCTGAGAGATTCTGAGGTCAGATACCTGCTTTAGCTCATTCTATCTGAGAGAAACTGAGGTCAGATACCTGCTTTAGCTAATTTTATCTGAGAGATACTGAAGTCAGATACCTGCTTTAGCTCATTCTATCTGAGAGATACCTGCTTTAGCTCATTCTATCTGAGAGATACTGAAGTCAAATACCTGCTTTAGCTAATTCTATCTGAGAGATACTGAAGTCAGATACCTGCTTTAGCTCATTCTATCTGAGAGATACTGAGGTCAGATATCTGTTTTAGCTCATTCTATCTGAGAGATACTGAAGTCAGATACCTGCTTTAGCTCATTCTATCTGAGAGATACTGAGGTCAGATACCTGCTTTAGCTCATTCTATCTGAGAGATACTGAAGTCAGAAACCTGCTTTAGCTCATTCTGAGAGATACTGAAGTCAGATACCTGCTTTATCTCATTCTGTCTGAGGGATACTGAGGTCAGATACCTGCTTTATCTCATTCTGTCTGAGGGATACTACGTTCATATAACTGCTTTATCTCATCCTGTCTGAAATACTGAGGTCAGGTACCTGCTTTATCTCATTCTGTCTGTGATATACTAAGATCAGATACTCGTTTTATCTCATCCTATCAGAAATATTAAGGTCATATACCTGCTTTATCTCATCCTATCAGAAATATTAAGGTCATATACCTGCTTTATCTCATCCTATCAGAAATATTAAGGTCATATACCTGCTTTATCTCATCCTATCAGAAATATTAAGGTCATATACCTGCTTTATCTCATCCTATCAGAAATATTAAGGTCATATACCTGCTTTATCTCATCCTGTCTGTGAGATACTGAGGTCAGATACCTGCTTTATCTCATCCTGTCTGACACACACACCTCATGCATACAACAGTTGACAATATTCTCTGTCTGTGTTTTGTCTCACCCACACAACAGCATGGCACTACATGACACAGCATCTGACAACTCACAATCAAGACCACTAAATTTCACACAAATATAAAGGACACTGCTCAACCTGATTTGTAATAAACCTTTATTCGGTGATAAATACTAGGCTGTACGCATGAAAAAATTGACATATTTGGATTACATGAAACAACAGACACATTTCATGTATGATTTTAATCTAAACAAAACATGGGGACCACATTAGCTAACACGTTTGTGATCATCAAATGAATGTTGAACCTTGAAACCGTGTTGTTAAGAGGTGCTCCTGTGCGGATGATGACAGGTCCCCATCCACACACACACAAAAACCAGCAGTCAAGATTAAGTCTACAAATGCTTGGGACCAGCTGAATGAGGGCCTATGCTCCAGTGGAAGATGAAAGGCAGAAGAACAGTGAAATCACACATTGTTTAACCTTGCAATCAGCAAATTAATGTTCAACCCTAAAACAAACACATATACATATCAATAGGCACACCACACGGTTTAACCTTGAAAAAACAAAGAATTTGTGTTTAACTTTAGAACAAACACGTAAAACACTAGAGCATCTATTCCCACTTCTTGTCTTTGTTTAAATGTGCCAGCAAGGTCTCTGTTGTGAAGTGTGGGGGCAGGGCTTCCAGTTTCTCTCGTACCTCCTCTCTCTTCAGTTGTTCCTTGTTCTTGTAGGGCACTCTGTCCACAACTCGGTAGTAAGCATTCTCCTCAGCCTGTGGGCGCAATACAATATGTCAACAGAGGTCACAAGAAAGCAAAACTCTGGTACATTTCTTAACTTAACTGCTACATGCATGCCATCTAGCTGCCACACCCCTACATGTATCTCATCTAGCTGCAAAACAACAGGTCCCTGTTCTATATAATAAGCACCTGTTTCCATGCTTTGGGACACCTTGAACTCTGGTTCTAGCTCCCATATTTCTTCAGCTCGATAAGCACTGGATGAACAAGGGTTCCTCAGAACCCGTTTTCAATTGGGTCAACATGGATGTCCAGGTCGAGTGTAAAACAGATCCAGGAGATTAGACAGCTAGAAGTTAGTTGTGAATCCTTTACAGGAGGCTGCAGAACTGACCTCAGCATTTTTGGCTGTTGTGATTTTTCTAGGAAAATTTATGTTCAGTAGTTTGCTACTGCTTTCTGAATGGTCAACTCTGGACACCACTAGAAACCAACGCAAGATGGTCTGCTGCCAAATCGTCTACAGCTGGGATAGAACCTGGCACTGAGAAGTGCCTTCACAACACCTAAGCCACGAATGGCAACAGATGCCTAGAAGACTAGACATCCAGGAGACTGGACAAGCAGAAGACTAGACATCCAGGAGACTAGACAAGCAGAAAACTAGGCATCCAGGAGACTGGAAAACTAGAAGACTAGGCATCCTGGAGACTGGACAAGCAGGAGACTTGACAACTAGAAGATGATGACATCCAGGAGACTGGACAAGCAGAAAACTAGGCATCCAGGAGACTGGACAACTAGAAGACTAAACATCCAGGAGACTGGACAAGCAGAAGACTAGGCATCCTGGAGACTGGACAACTAGAAGACTAAACATCCAGGAGACTGGACAAGCAGAAAACTAGGCACCCAGGAGACTGGACAACTAGAAGACTAGACATCCAGGAGACTGGACAAGCAGAAGACTAGACATCCAGGAGACTGGAAAACTAGAAGACTAGACATCCTGGAGACTGGACAACTAGAAGACTAGACATCCAGGAGACTATACAGCAGCAATGGTTTATGTTATCTGTGATGGAATAGCTCAGGGTTTTTACAAGGGGAACTGATCTCTCCTCACTGCACTGATAAGCCAGTACACTAGCCACCAGTGAGTCAATGATCCCTCCCTACATACTGAACCCATGGGCACTCAAAAGATAATTTAGACATGTTCATGTCATACAATCTTCACCTTCGGACAGGGCTAGTGAACAAAGTTTACTCATGGGCCAGGGAAGGTCATTAGTATAATACAATCCATGGGCCACCAGTTGAAGCCCTGCCTCAGGAAAGGATTTAAACACATGACTACCAAGCTGGCAGGCAAACTTGCTAGCCATGGATGTGCTGCAGCTCCCATTACATCAGTTTAGTCAGTTGCATATCCTTTACAGGATGTTGCAGAACCAACCCCAGCATTTTTTGGCTGTTGTTGTTTTTTATAGGCAAATTTATGTCCAATAGTTTGCCATTGCTTTCTGGACAGTCAGCTTCTCGATACCACTGTCGAAACCAGCGCAAGGCCCGCAGCTGGGATCGACCCCGGCATTACGAAGCTCGTTCACAACGCCTAAGCCACATGTTACATCAGTTGAGAAGTGAAATATGTGATTAAGACAAAGGCAAACACTGAGACAAACTATTACCAACCTGAGTCAGATAAGGCTGATTTAAAACATCCAAATTTTGTTTTTCTATAACCATCAGTTCGGCCACCCTCCGCTTGAAGTCCACACTGATTGGAGGAATCACTCGATCTTTTCTGTGGGGCAGAAACAACAATAAGTCATTTGTAAGTAAAGTTATTTCCCATGTTGCTTTTCCTGAACCAGAGACATGGAAACTCATATGAAATGCATAAAATAGGAGAAACAGGTTTGTTATTCCCATGTAGATTGCGAGGGGGGGGGGCCAATAATATAACCAACTGCCCCTCACCCCCCCCCCCTCCACATGCATGTTGTAAAAGGCGACTAATTATAGATGTTCTCTTCAAAACTGGAGTGCATCAACAGTGTCCATAGAAATATGCTAGATCTGTATAACAAATGTACACAATAAACTCAAGTTTGGGAACAAAAGTCTAAAAGGGGATAAACAACCAGAACTTTCCTCGGGGAGTTTACAGCAAATAAATGCAGAGAAAGAGAATTTCGTTTGGTTTCTTATTTCTATCGAGTCAAGTTTCCAGAGTAAGCGAATGTCATGTGTTCCATGCCCTCAAGGGTACTGGACATTTCGTACTAGACCAATATTTTATAGACCAATCAGCCTTCTCCTATTGCCACAGTTCAGTTTCTAGGTTTCAGCCTGAGAATTTACGGCCGCACAGCTAGTGCTGTTGCCACGTCTGTACAGGTGAGTTATAACTGGCCCTCTTCTGAATACCGGTCCCAAATTAATTATTCAATGTGAAAAACATCCCTCAAGAGTTTATGTAGTAAACAATACAGAACAGGCACAATTCAGATGTAGAAGCACAATATGTACCACTAATCATTTAGGCCATCATCTTCAGTTTCCACTTTTGCTGTTATTGCTTGATGGAAAGCAATGTTTAGATGTTGAGCTAAGCGCCGTGGGGAGGGATAGTTTTCAATCCATTTAAGCGTCGTAGGAAGGAATAGTTTTTGGTCCACTGAAGCGGCATGAGGAGTAATAGTTATCCACTGTTTTAGCGTTGTGGATAAGATCCACTGCCACCTAAAAAGCATGTTGTAAAAGGCGACTAAGTAGGACTTTGCTGAAATCAGATGCATTGGGGCAAAAGGCGCAGATATCACAGCCTAACTGTAAACCACAACACAACATGCTAACCGCTCTTTCAAGGGCTACAAAAAAATATTTATCTCCCGGCGGGGAATTGAACACCAATCAGCTGCATGACAGGCAGATGCTTACAACTATACTACCGAAGTCTCCAGAATTTGGTTCAAATGAAATTATATAATAACGGCAAGCTTAGTTCGTAGTGTTCCTGTTCCATATTTTTAACTATATGACCTCTTGAGGCCCTGCATGTTAACTGTGAATAATTTGAGTCCTGCCCTTTAATTTATAATATACCTAAAAAAAAGCACTTGCAGGCACCTGTCCGTTTTTGCAGATGAGTGTTATACTGTGAGATGGGGAGGCATGAGAATCACAATCCATGGTGACAGTGAGTGTGACTAGCAAGACCTACACATGTTTGAAGTTAGGAATTAAAGAAGTCTTTGCTGACAGTTTAAAAAAGAAGCACCAAACAAAGATAGGAATGGACAATTTAAATACTATTAGCACCACAGAGGTTTCTAACTTATCCACAGCTGTATACACTAAACAAGTCACTGACTACTTTTCCCCTCACGTTTAGTGTTGAGAGCTGTCGATTTGACACTGACACTGGTTGTTCGACACCTAGGACTTTGTTTTGTTCTTAAATATTTCAGGGGCCGCATTAGCACAGTCGATAGGAGACTCACTTTCAAATCCAGCTGCACTGCTGCGACTCGCTGAAGCCCACGGCCGGTGTTTGAAATCGGCCAGTTTCCGGGTTCACCCAGCCTCTAGGAAATGAGTACCATTACACTAGCGACTACGGTGTTTGGCAATTTGCGGTCTTTTGGCAATTTCCGTTACCATGGAAACCGTTCGAAACTTGTTTGGGAAATGTCGGCTGGTTTCGGGATGGGTCCAAATCTCCCATGAAATTTTGCGATTGGTGTGATTTTCACCAGCTATAAATAGCTGAAAATGGCGGGAACGAACCCGATTAACAGCGCATGTCGACAACAGCCGGACGTCCTCTGTTTTTCTGTTACATCAGTTTTATTAAAAACAGCGGTAAGTATTCAAGGTTGGCTTTAGGCTTTAACATTACTCGAACTGGTAATGCTAGTTATAATTGAATTCTCCGTCCAATTTTACATTTGTATATAAAATTTCTTTCTAATGAGTGGCCTTTTAGATTTACAGTGACATTTTTCAGGCAATCGCTATTATGTGGCTGTCTCATTGTCTGCCATCTTGTCCAATGTAAAGAAAGCCAAAACAAAAGTGCGCAGTTTGGTTGCGCAGAGAAAACTTTTTGTTTCTGGGACGCAAGTTTTCAACAGCTGTTTTTTTTACATCTCATCTTCACAAAAACCTACATATCTCAGCTCAGAAATGACATACAAGCCTAAATGAGGTACCGTTGGAAAGAGATTGTTTAGAGCTATCTAACTGTGCTGGTTTTATTATTGTAGAGGGCATTTTGAAAATTTGACTAAAGTACCTCCATTACACTTTGGGGTAAATAGAAGAATGTCGCTGTAGTGTCTGTAGCACGGAGTTTCGTGCGGACAGCGACACAGGCGGACAGTTTCTCATCAGCTGTCCATACTGATACTGGTGGCAGAGCACTTATGTTTTATAACCGTGTGCAATGACATTGGTTCACATCTCCCGACTTTACCTTTATAAAATCCATAGGATAAGAAGAAACTAGAAATGCCTTCGTTTGTTGCTGCGCTACGCCTACTGAGGCAGGTCACTCACAATGTTTGATTGTCACATCGTATTTTTTCTTACCTGACAACCGGTGACAAGTGAATTAGGAAAGCTGACATCACACATATTTTATATAGCCTTGTGTGAGATAGTTACCCATATCGAATTAATCCCTGGACTTTTCTGTAGCGAATGTAAAACGTAAGGGCCTGGGTGAGCCTCATGTCTGCTGCTCTCTCCTTGAGTTCTCTCTCTCTCTGTTGTCTCAAGTGCAGTGTTGCCACTTTTCTTTGACAAAAAAGATCCAAAACAGGGTAAAAAAATATCTAAAAAGATCTAAATTTGCGTGGAAAATATTTAAAAAAAATATCTAAATTAAAAGAGTCACAAATTACAAAACTATTGAAATGACTTACCCTATAGACACATGTCCTTATCTTCACTGATGTCTGCTTCACAAGATCCACAGGATAAACTTAGCTTGGATGATGAAGTTGAAGCTTCAGATCCCAAATTACTCTGGTATGCTTTAGCTGTTCCTATTTCTTTTAATACACAATCAGGGAGCTGATAACAGCATTTTCCTACTCTCATCAGGCCAAACTTTATTGTCAAGATAGCATTTAAGAGGTCTAATTTCATCCTGTTTCTTAGGTTAGATTTGATGTAATTCATAGCACTGAAAACTCTTTCTACGTCAGCATTTGAGTGGGGTAGTATCATGGCAGACATGGCACATTCAAAGAGTTTACAGAATGGACTGTTTGATGAGGCATCTTTAAATTGTCTCACTTCACTCCAAAACGCTTCAGTTTCTGTTTTGTTTGTCCATTCAACTAAGTTTATTTTGGTTAAATGATATTCTGCTCCCGCGACACTATTGTCAGTAGCCCCTAAAAATTTCATAACTTTACAATATTTAGGTATGTCCTTTACTGGCTGAAGTATGTTGCTCACAGAAAAGAGTGAAATATTTTTCAAAACATCTAGATTTTCAGGAAGTCTCTGCTTTAGTTGCTTGAACAATGAGATAAGGAAATCTTGACAGCGTTTTCTTAAGTTGTTCTCTTCATTCTCTGTTAACAGTCCTTTTGTTTTTAAATCATCAATTTTTGATTCAATTTGATATCCAAGGTATGGCTTAGGAGCCAAATAGCTCTCTATAGTGCAAGTGAGCAAATCAACTTTTGAAGTTGGCAACACCAGTCTTTTACCAACTGAGTAAAATAGCAAAGTGAGATCGTCAAGTAATTTAACTTTATCAACATGTTTGGATTCGAACAGTTTATTAACTTTTTGCACTTCCATTAGAATAGGTTGTAAAAAGAGAAGGAATGCCAATTTTTTTTCATCACTGTACATTCCATATAGTATCTCAGCTGTGTAGCACTTTTCACTTTGTCTTGTTATTTCAAAGTGTGTCTTTAACTCCAACCATTGGTTCACAATTCTTTCAACAGCTGGTTGTATTGATAACCACCTGGTTTTGCAATCTGACAGAATTTTCAGTGGTGTGGAACCATTATTTTAGGCTGAATACAATGCATTGTATTGCTGTTGTCTGACAAATGATTTTGAAAACCAGTTATGTGTTTCAGCAATAAGGTATTCCAAATTCCTTGGTAAACATTCAGATGAAGCATGTGATAATGCTAGCTGCAATGAATGACACATACATTTTATAAGTATTAACGATGGGATAGCTTCCTTCAACTTGGCATAAACGCCATTGTTTATGCCAACCATCACTGAGGCATTATCGGTACCAATTGCAACCAAATTTGTCAAGTCTAACTGTTTGCTGATTAAAAGGTTCTTCAGTTCTTGAACTATACTTTCTGCATCACACTTTTCCAATTGAACTAGTCCAAGATATGTAGAAACTACTTTGTCTGTATTGTTGCTGTAATATATAATACACACACCAAGCACTTTCAGTACCGAAATATCATTGGATTCGTCTAATAATAAACTATATTTATTTGTAGAAATATCACTGATCAAATCTTTTTCGAAGTGAGAAAATAAAGTATTTCTTATAATATGTGTACACTTGCTGCGATGCATTTTCACATCATCCATAACTTTACTGTCAGAAATTGTGTTTTTAAACAAATCAATCAAATGGTCACAGTTTGAAATTGCACAATGGCAACTTAAAAACATTGCGACCGACCCTTCAACTTTTGATGATTCATTTATCAGTGTAGTTCTGAAAACAGATGTCAGCGGTGTATTATCTTTGAATGGAACTGCAGTTTTATGCTTGTTAGTCTCTGCATGCTTCTTTAAGTCTTGTATTTTCGCTTTAATTTCACACTTGCAGTACTTACAACGAGCCTTGGTTATATCCCCAGGAACTGCCATCACCCAGTCTTTAATTTTGTCATCATGCAAATACTCTTTCCGAAATTTTTGCTCATTCTTTACTTTTGGCATGTTGAAAGGTTTTTTTTCAAAGTGAAAGCCACACAAGAAGGTGAGCAATTATTTTTTAAAAATCACATGAAAAAGAAACACAGAGTCAGCATCACAGCTATACTTCACAACACAGTGAGGATACGGTTGAAACAAAGTTAGTATGATTTACGCGCGATTTCGATTAATCAGCACCGGGGTTGTCAGATATTTGAGTGTTGACGTTAGTGAGAGTTCAAAGTTTAAGTAATGGCAGTTGCCACAATGTACGTGCCAGACCAAAACAAAAATATTTTAGTAAATATTTTACTCAATAATTATTAAAATGACACTAAAAGAAAAAAAAATCTATAAAATTTCTAACTCCATATGAAAAGAATCTAGAAAAATATTTAGTATCTAAACGTCAAAAACAGGATCTAAACGCAGTGAAAAAGATCTAAATTTGGATACAAAAGATCCAAAGTGGCAACACTGCGTGTCTGGTTGGGCACCTGCAAAACTTGCACTCAACTCACGGCTCAAATCTCATCTCAACACTGTGTTCTGTATTGTTTACTTGAATAATTTGAATTTATTAAAAAAAAAACTACAATCATTGGTAAATAATTATTATCTTATTTACATGTTATTTCTGTTTTTTGTTAAATTGACAAGAATAATATATTTGTTTAGTTATCTGTTGAAGTCGAAGTTGTCAATGTAATCGGAAGTCGTCTGCAAGTTGTCCAGAAGAAGATTTGACGGAACGGAGTTGCTTCCTCACAAGTTGACTAAACTTGACTTCCCCTGCTTCTTTCTCCCTTACGCTGGAATTTGTTCATCACAAGTTTAACTGCTTTCTGGAGTTTATTGATCACAAGTTTAGCAGCTTTACTGGCTACGCTAGAGTTGCTTCAACGTCAAGTTAAACCATAATAAACTTGACTGTCCGCTGAGCTTTCTCACAGAGTCTGTTTACTTGATTGTTTACATTTTACATGGTAAGGGAGCCGAGTCTCTATCTGCATTATATTAATAATATTAGAAACGATTGAATTATTTCTTTCCAACAAGTAATCTAGGTCTTCCGTAAGTCAGGATGGCCCAGCGGTCAGCATCTGCTCTTGTATGCGTGGGTTCAAATCGGGATCCCACCAGTTGAATAACCCTGGCATTTTTGAAATTGTTTCACAATGCAGTCCTTGACTGGACAGTATCAGACTATATTTTAAAACAAGATCATCGCATGGCTCTGGCTGAGCGGTTCTCAAACTGGGTGCCGCAGCACCAAGAGGTGCCGTAGCACCCAGAGGTGCCATAAGCGTATGCAGGGGTGCCGCAGCACCCAGAGGTGCCGTGAGCTTATACAGGGGTGCCGTGAGCGTATGCAGGAGTCCTGCGGCAATAATCAAGAATTTTCCCAAATATGCTTGAGATCAGCAAAGACAGCAGTTTAAAACCGAAATACTGTGAAGAAGCCAGGAAGAGTTCAGGACGCAGGTGCATTCAAAAAACGGCTCTCCTAGCAGATTTGGCCAGCAAGCTGGACTGCTTCGGCCGGCTTAGTGGGAGTTATGTCCCTTGGCCGCACTCACAACAACGAGCGGAAAAAGTCACCAATCAAATGACATACTTACCTATCATCATCCGGGTGCCTGTAGGGTTGCGTATTGTTGCGTCTAGGGTTACCTATCATCCTACGGTTGCGTGTAGGGCTGCGTAGGGTGTCTATCATCGTCCTACGGTTGCGTGTAGGGCTGCTTATTGTGTGTAGGTTGGTTGTTTGCGTAAGATGAGGGGTAGGTTTAGGGTTAGGGTTAGGGGTATGGTTAGATGTGAAGATTTTCACGTAGGAGGTCGAAATAGTGGCTGACAATCTGATGCTTGTGGGAGTGGCGCCACTGAAACTCTGCCACATTTGACGCGAATAGCGGGCGGCTGGTGCCCAGTCGCTGGCGAATTGTCCGTGTCAGTAGCATCCACCGTCCGTCGACTGTTTGCGCGTGCATGCGACTGTGCGCGATTAGAGGTAACTACGTCGTCATTTTTGGCAGAGTTTCAGTGGCGCCACTCCCACAAACGTCAGATTGTCGGCCACTATTTCGACCTCCTACGTGAAAATTTTCAAATCGAACCATACCCCTAACCCTAAACCCTAACCCTAAACCCTAACCCTAACCCCTAAACCCTAACCCTAAACCCTAACCCTACCCCTCATCTTACGCAAACAACCAACCTACACGCAATAAGCAGCCCTTCACGCAACCGTAGGACGATGATAGACACCCTACGCAACCCTACACGCACCCGGATGATGATAGGTAAGTATGTCATTTGATTCGTGACTTTTTCCGCGACTTGTTTTGAGTTTGGAGAAGGGACATAACTCCCACTAAGCCGGCTGAAGCAGTCCAGCTCACCGGCCAAATCTGCTAGGAGAGCCCAAAAAACAATGCTATTAGCAAGGCTGCAGAGCATTCTCAATGAACGCTGACATAAAAAAACAGATACAGAAGAAAACTTTCTGGGTCATGTGATTTGAGAGTGAAATTAACTAAACTTCCCATATAAACAAAGGAAATAATGAAAAATTCATCCACACAGTTTAATTCATCGCATTAAAGACAAATGATAATTAAATGTGCACTGTTTTGTTTCTTCTTTTCCTAAGTATTCAAACCACTTTAAGGGTAAGTGTGCTGCGAAAACATTTTTGTCTGACGAGGGTGTCACGGCGAAAAAAGTTCGAGATCCTCTTCTCTAGCCTATGAAGAGCTTAAGAGCTTTCTCACTTAGACAGCACTGAAATTCAATGAAATAGGCTAGAGGCAGCCTTATCAGATGTCTCATCTTGACCTTATTATCATGTGCCTTGCGGTAAGTGTAGATTGTGCCGGTCATCATCTAAGGTGATCACCAGAATCAGGGATCAATTCTGTGTTCTTGTCCCGCCCATGCCATGTGATTAAGCTATCCTGATGTTAATCTTGATGTCTTCTGCTTGCCTTTTTTCCCCCGATCAGGTTGGCTTTTCCCCCATCAGGTTGGCTTTTTCTCCATCAGGTTGCCTTTTCCCCCATCAGGTTGGCTTTTCCCCCATCAGGTTGCCTTTTCCCCCATCAGGTTGCCTTTTCCCCCATCAGTTTGCCTTTTTCCCCATCAGGTTTCCTTTTTCCCCATCAGGTTGCTTTTTTCCCTATCAGGTTGCCTTTTTCCCCATTAGGTTGTCCAGTTATTATGAAATATTTGTGATTAGCCTCATACTTCTTCATCTTCGCATTCATCACCAGCTGTAAACTCTGGCGGAAAGTTCTGGTTGTTCATCCACTTCTGGACTGCAGTCCTGTTCCAGAACCTGAGTGTTGCGTGTGCATCCATTTTATAGATCTGACTCATTTGTATTCAGACTACTGGTTCCTTGCCTCTCAGGCAGATGCACTCTGACTTCGAAGGAAGCTCCCAATAAGCCGACTCTTATGACATGCTTTTGGGTAAGCAGTGGGTCTATTGTTGTTTTCCCTATAATAGGGCCCCTGAACCCACACAGGGACGCCTCATTCTAAAAAGTGAAATAAATGGAGAAGAAGGCGTAGTCCTTGTTTCTTTTGTCTTATTTTGTAAGTCGTAATGTTTGTTTCATATCATGTAATTGGTGTCTTTCTTTTCCAGTTGCTGTAATGTTGACTGCTAGTGATGGGAGTGTGGCAGACAGTCTATCATGCAGAGTTTGGATGTAATCCCTGTTGGTCAGGTGGCTGGAGCCACATCCTCCTCACATGTTGTGCGTATAGTTCACATCTCAGACACGCACCTGGGCCACCATGTGTTGACACCTCCGCGTCCAATCAGTGGAAACATCTCCATCAGGCGGAGCAACAGCTCTGACGTCCCAAACCAGGTAGTTGATGAGAAAGGAATCGATGCCTTTGAGAAAAAATCTGGCTGTCTCGCAGAAACTTCTGACGGCGGCTTCCATAAAGGTGGGGTCTTTTTGAGCAATGTACGTCGGTCTCGGGCCAGCGATTATGAAATCCCATGTGGGGATATTCTGGTACATTCTGGAGATTTTGATTGGTCCAAACATTCTGGGCGCATCTTTCGGTCAGATAACTTTGAGGAGATTGTACAGTTAATGAATGATTTTTTTGACCGATTTCCCCACAAAGTAAAAATTTTTGTTGCTGGGAACCATGAGGGATGCCTGGAGAAGAGGAAAATTCAGGCTGTCCAGGACCGACTGACCTCTGCTGTGTATCTGTACAATTCAACATACATCTATGAGGGCATACACTTTTATGGCAGTCCATACACTCCATTCAGGTTTATGACTAATGCTCGAGGGTTTATTCGTACATCGAGGAAAATTGCAGCACATTGGAGGGAGATACCATCGAGAACTGACGTCTTAGTTACTCACTCCCCGCCTCATGGCATACTTGACCTTGGGGTGACCTGGAGCGCCAGAAATATGCCAGGTGTTTCACAAGCATTCCATCGGGTGATACCGAGTCATCCGTGCGAAACGTGTGGCATCATACATCCGGGGCGCAGCCACTGGGGGTGTCCACATCTCAGGGAGGAGGTGCTCATCAGAATCAAGTAAGTACAAATGTTCACACATCATTATCATGTGCCATGTCAGTAAGTTTTTGGTTATGGCTGACCACCTCACACATTACCTAATCTTGGATCAAGTCTGTGTTCTTGTCTACATTATGCAAGGGAGCCAAGCTTCCATATGTTTATCTTCCACTTGTTCCTGTTATGTTTGTCTATCGTCATTAAGTTTTAAAATGTGTTTCTGCTCATAATCCTCCTAAATTGCCATAACTGCCTGAACTGACCTTCTTTATTTCTGCTCATAATCCACCAAAATTGCCTTGACTGCCTGAGCCGACCTTCTCTGTCAGTTTACAGAGTACTAACCCTCCCGCCCCATGAACAAAAAAAAAAATTTATGTTTTGACCCTGTTAGAATTTAATTTTATAAAATCATGTTACAGATGGAAGCCGCCGTGGCAGAGCAGCTACACGCGCGCCGCGGATCGGAAGGTTGTGGGTTCGCTCCCTGGCGGAGCCTGACTTTTCTTCAAAAGGGACCTTGGCTCCCAGGTCAACCCAGCCTTGAGTGGGTACCGGGTGCAGTCCTGGGAAGTAGAGGCCGCCAGGGTGATGCTGACCACATTAGCCATCTTGTGCCGTTGGTCTATAAAATATAGGTCTAGCCCTATTTGCCCTATACGCCTAAAGGCGTGGAACAGGGTCCTTTACTTTTACTTACTTTAACTTTTATGTTACATACATTTTATACAGGTCACTAATAAATACAAACAAATTAAAATTATTATATCTGCACTTGAACATTTTGTTTGTGTGTTCGTGAGTGTGGCGTGCGTGCGTAAGAGAGAGAGAGAGAGAGATGTAAAAAAATATATGAGAGGACACATCTCCCTGTTTACAGCCAGTGGTGAATGAACAATCAGAATCATGTGCTCTTATCCCCCATTAGACAATAGGTCCTCAGCCAGTTTACCGCTGTCTCTCCTATCTCCTGCAGCTGACTTCATGTCCTCCCTGCAGTATTCACTCCCATGTCCTCCTTGCATTGTTCACTCCATGTTCTCCCTGCATTGTTCACTCCATGTTCTCCCTGCATTGTTCACTCCATGTCCTCCCTGCATTATTCACTCCCTGTTCTCCCTGCATTGTTCCCTCCATGCCCACCCTGCATTATTCACTCCATGTTCTTCCCGCATTGTTCACTTCTTGTGTTTTTTTAGATCTCTCTGTCTCTGTGTGTCTCTTTTGCCTGGTTACTTCCATTGAAAGTACAATATGTTTATACTTTATGATCAGATTTTCTCATTGCATGTCCCATCCAGGACCTGCATCTTTTCCTCACCTCTCGATTCAGTTGCATTTGTTATCTCTCATAACTCCACAATAATGATTCTGTCATACCATTTAATTCTATTATTCACAGGCACTGGTTGATTGTGTGTAGTTTATTAATGATTGCTTTAGTTTTGACTCCTTCAAGAGCATACATATATGGTATTGACTGAAGAAGAGGAAGCACCTGTAGATTTACCCAGAGTACTCTGATGTTAATTTCTGATTAACTACCCTGAATGTTTGATCATCCTTAGGCCGACTCTGCATCTGTTTGGGCATGTCCACGAAGGCAATGGGGTGCTCACTCGGAAGGGTATCACTTTTTCCAACTCGTCCTACGCTTCTATGAAGAGACCTCATGTTTTTGACTTCTACACAGGATTCTAGAGAGGAAGACACCACCTCTACAGGCCTTGGGGTATCTGTTCTCAACCTCCACTGTTCTGTCTTTTAGACTCTTCTTTCTCAGGGCTATACTGTTGTGAATACATGAAACATAGACAATGTGCAGGCAGGTTGAGAAACTTGTAATGGCAGTGACAAAATGGTTTCTGGGCAGAATGCTGAGAATATCAGACTTGGACAGAAATATGGACGAGGCACTCATTCTTGACATAGATGCAAACTGTAAAATCTTTAGACAAATTGAGACTTAGTCAAGATGGTATGGGCATGTTTTCAGAGAAAGACGAGATGGTGAGTCATGACTGATTCATTGTTACAGCACATAATGATAATGAGCTCACATCATCTGTTCATTTATCGTCTGAGAAAAGCAACTAGATCTGATCCAGCCAGGGTTGGAGACACTGCCACCCTCTGGAAACAAACATGAGGGCTCTGTTGCTATGCTTTGGTGTATAAGAATTTAATGTATGTAACATATGATTGTGTGTAATCATATATGTATCATTATTTGGACTATATGTGAGTCTGTTACTGTTATACTTGTTTATCTATGCCATGATATATGACATATGCCTAACCGTCACCATGTAGGCAACATAGCACAGCATTGAGCAGATCATATATTTCTTATTACAGTGCATATGACATGACATATATGTTTCTAGATTAACATGCTTGTGCATCTGTCTATCAGTATAAAATATGTCATACTTTTTTTTTCACCAGTGAAAATTGTTTGCTGTTTCAGGTAATGGTGCTACATCGGTGTCTTTCTATCCATGGTATATAACACATACATCTGATAGTAGAACATATATGTATCCTGGGTACACATCATCTGTATACATAAGCCTAGAACATATATGTCTATCACTGGTAAATTTAGCAAGTTTATTTAACATTGAAACATATGTGTATTATTGGCTCATACAATATTTTGCCTTCTCAGTGAAACATATGTTTATCTGTTGTAAATATTGTACGTTTGTTGATTACAAGCTTGTCTCTGTCACCACAACATATCTTTTAGTTGTGCATATAAATGGTACATATCCTGGCATGGGGGTATACGCAGCCAAGCAGCATATCATGACACTGTGACCACATATATGTTGATTCATCATCATGTAACAGGTACATTTTAAAGGGGGCATAGAGAGAAGAGAGGAGATATATAAAAGTAGAGGGAGAGACAGACGAGAAGAATAAGAGTTAAAGGATGTATAAGAAGACAAAAGGTTCTCCTACGGGGAGAGTGTGGTAATAAGTCTACACCCCAGTGGAGGTATGAAAGAGAGAGTATAGTAAAGTGGTATAAAGACTACGACAACTAAATAATAGTATCACTCCTATACTCAACAAACTAACGATGGAATAAAAAAATAACAACTGACAATCATGTTTATTAAGGAACAGAATGACAAAGTCATATATCTCATATTACACAACCAAGATGACCTCAATACAAAAGATGTTACACTAAGTTATAACTAGAGCGTGCTCAGTCTTCACTCACACTATAAAACGTCAGTACAACAGCCTATCGTTCATTACCACTGATAGCAGATAGATAACCTCTTGTAAACTTTTAACAGAAACTTTAAGTTCATTGACTTTTATCGAAACTAATCCTTTGTATGGCTGTGCCTGCCACTGCCACATGCACCCCGCCCAAACATTCTCCAAAGCCTCCTCCCTCATCACATGACCAAAGAACAATGCTTGTCTTTTCCTTATAGCTGTATTTATTGATCTGCTTTCATTAGCTTCTTTCAAGCAATCCTGATTAGTTACACTGGCAATCCAAGGGATTCTATGTTGGTTGGATCAGAATATTCTCCTTTACATAGCTGGTGTGTATCTCTATCAGGTTTTTGTGAGGTTGTGTGTCTAGTATAGTAGAATGTCCCATGTAGAGCTCAGAATGATTGATTGTTTGAGAGACAGACTTGGGGTCTAGAGTGTCCCATGTAGAGGCCAGACATGATTGTTTAAGAGTCAGACTTGGGGTCTAGAGTGTCCCATGTAGAGGCCAGACATGATAGTTTGAGAGACAGACCTGGGGTCTAGAGTGTCCCATGTAGAGGCTAGAAGTATGACAGACTTGGGATCTAGAGTGTCCCATGTAGAGGCCAGACATGATAGTTTGAGAGACAGACTTGGGGTCTAGAGTGTCCCATGTAGAGGCCAGAAGTATGAGAGACAGACTTGGGGTCTAGAGTGTCCCATGTAGAGTCCAGACATGATAGTTTGAAAGAAAGATAGATTTGGGGTCTAGATTGTCCCATGTAGAGCTGTAGACGATCCTGTGTAGAACTCGATGTGACATCAGCCTTTACAATGCTCGTAGGCTGAAGGCCAAAACTAGGATAAGAAAGGTACTTGTCAGAGAGCTGCTGTTTGCAGATGATGCAGCAATCACCATACACTCAGATTAGGAGCTGCAGTGTTTACTGTCTGCATTTGCTAATGCATGCTATGAATTTAGACTAACAGTCAGCAAAAAGAAGACAAAGGTTATGGTGCAAGGTGTTAATGGTAGACCTGCAGTCTGCATTGATGGTGAAGAGCTGGGACAGCTGACGATTTTACCTATTTGGATTCGACAGTGAATAACAAACTATCACTGGACCAAGAATTCAATATCAGGATATGTAAGGCAGCAACAGCAATGAGCAGATTAATCAAAAGAATTTAGGAGAACTGAAAGCTCACAATTAAAATACAAATTCTTGTCTATCAGGCTTATGTTCTCAGCACTCTGCTTTATGGCAGTGAAACTTGGTCAACATGTTTGTACCAGAGAAATGGTGAAATAGCTTTCACACGCGATGCTTAAGAAGAATACTTGACATTAAGTGACAGGACAAGATCACAAACACTGAGGTATTGGAAAGAGTAGGTATTACAACAGTTTTCTCAAGGCTCAGGTGGCTGGGTTGCACCTGGAGAATGGAGGATGGCAGAGTCCCTAATAACATCCTCTATGGCAGCAGTTCTCAACCTGTGGGTCGCGACCCTTTTTTTTTCAAACGACCCTTTCATGGAAGTTGCCAAAGACCATCGCAAAACATATTCATTGAAGTTATGAAGATGCAACAAAAATAATTGTATGGCTGGGGGGTGCCAGAACATGAAGAACTGGATCAAAGGGTTGCAGCATTAGGAAGGTTCTCAACCACTGCTCTATGGTGAATTAAAGATGGGTAAAAGATATCGAGGCCGACCTCTACTACAATATAAAGATGTGTGTAAGCGGAACATGAATGATATGGGTTTTGAGGCAAACTTGGAACAAAATGGACCATGTTATGTGAAGTGGGCAGATCAGGAAGGGAATGAGAATGAAGGAAGAAATGATTGCAGAAAGGATGAGAGTTGAGTGTCTGAGAAGAAATAAACTAAACATAAATGTTGACAACAATGGTCCTGAAATCCCATGCTATAATTGTGGAGGACTTTTCTTGACATGGGCCGGTCTTGCTAGTCAAACTCGCCATCGCCATCGGCTATGAGAACCATGCCTCCTCATTACACAAAATAACACTATCATCTGGAAATACGGAAAGGTGCCAATCAACAGTCAGTCAAACTGTGAATGCAGTTTCACTCGGCACAGAAATGTGGACACAGTTTTTGTTGGCATTAAACTGTGAATACAGTTTCAGTCAGCACAGAAATGTGAACACAGTTTTTGTTGGCATTCAAACTGTGAATACAGTTTCACTCAGCACAGAAATGTGGACACAGTTTTTTGTTGGCATTCAAACTGTGAATACAGTTTCAGTCAGCACAGAAATGTGAATACAGTTTTTGTTGGCATTCAAACTGTGAATACAGTTTCAGTCAGCACAGAAATGTGAACACAGTTTTTTGTTGGCATTCAAACTGTGAATACAGTTTCAGTCAGCACAGAAATGTGAATACAGTTTTTGTTGGCATTCAAACTGTGAATACAGTTTCAGTCAGCACAGAAATGTGAACACAGTTTTTGTTGGCATTCAAACTGTGAATACAGTTTCAGTCAGCACAGAAATGTGAACACAGTTTTTGTTGGCATCAAACTGTGAATACAGTTTCAGTCAGCACAGAAATGTGAACACAGTTTTTGTTGGCATCAAACTGTGAATACAGTTTCACTCAGCACAGAAATGTGAACACAGTTTTTGTTGGCATCAAACTGTGAATACAGTTTCAGTCAGCACAGTAATGTGAACAAAGTTTTTGTTGGCAACAAACTGTGAATACAGTTTCACTCAGCACAGAAATGTGAACTCAGTTTTTGTTGGCATCAAACTGTGAATACAGTTTCAGTCAGCACAGAAATGTGAACACAGTTTGTTTTTGACATGAATATCCATGTGAATCTCATTTGTGTTAATACATACATGTGAATATGGTATTTGTGTTAAAATATACATGTGAACATGGTATTTGCCCAGACAAATTATTAAATTAGTATAAAACAGAGTACTGTGAAGGCTAAAAAAGTCACCCACACACAGACACACAAAGGTCAAAAGTCACAAATATTACATTGATACTGTAAAAAAGCGCAAAGATGACTTTCAAAACAAAACTTAGACAGATGAAGAAGAGACAAAACTTGGACAGATGAAGAAGAGACAAAACTTGGACAACTGTGAGTTGAGATCCACGTTACCATTCTCATGTTCATTTGGTGTATGTCATGTGCCAGCATATTCAGTAAAAGTTATTTTGCTGTTTGATTATGACAAGTGACATTTGAATATTTCTTTCTTGTCATGACTATTGAACTATTTATATTTGTACATAGCCAGTCATGACCAGTGACACTGTCCAATACACATTACTTTGTACACATGTAAACCTTTCATTTACTTACACATCTTGTAGCCAGTGTCCACTTTCTACTGTCACTGTGTTCTTTTATATCTTTTGTACACACAGTACTAGTGACTAGGGCTGAGAGGTTTTTTTCTAGAAGAAAAACAAAG